GCAATCCCTGAATTGGTCACAGAATTTGAGAGATGATTCTCATGTAGAAGGAACAATAATGGACCGAGGATGGACCCATGTGGCACTTCTGATGTTACTGGAAGCGGCCTCGAGGTTGTTCCAAGAAAGGTCGTTTGTCAGTGATATCGGTTGGTCAGATATGAACCGAACATTTGAAAATGCTTCCTCCAAACCTGAATTCACGAAGGCAATGTAACAGATTTGCGTGGCTCACTTTATCAAAGGCCTTGGACATGTCTAAATAAAGTACGTCAATTTGTTTACCACGGTCTAAGTAACGGCCGATGTGATCAAGGACTTCGATGAGTTGGGTGATGCAGGATTTTTTCGGCAAAAAACCATTTTGGCCAGGATCTATCTGTTCGTAAGCATGATGTTTGATGCTGTTAAATACACAACGTTCGAGGTTTTTGAGATGAGGGACAGTAGTGAAATTTATCGGTAATTTTCTACCTCAGCTTTTTCCCTGCGTTTGTAGACTGGGACCACGTTCGCAAGTTTCCAATCGTCAGGCACAACGTCAATACGCAAAGACTTGTTGCAAAGAGAAGATGGTGCAATCTTATTATCTGGACCGTGTACTTTATTATGGTCTAAGTTCATCATCACACCTAGTATTTCTTCCTCCGATAATGTGATATTCTCAAACTCTACGTTATGCAGACGATCACGATGTTCGAAGACAACGTCCGAGCATTCTGTTTCGTTCGAGTGCATTCTTTCACTATCATTTACTTTCGTGGAAACTTCCCCTGGAATCTAGTTTCATATTAATCTGACACTGCAATCGACCAACGAAAAATTCGTTGGTTCTGAAATAGAATTAAATCACTGCGCGTCCTCTAAGACAAGCGTAAGTCGTCACGAATATATTTCGTGCACTTAAATTGGATAAGACTCGCTACCAATCCCTGTTGACTCGATAGCTCAATAGGTAGAGCGGCGGTCTGGATACCCGAAGATGCGAGTTCAAATCTCGCTCGAGCCAACGAATTTTTCGTTGGTCGATAGCAGTGTCAGATTAATATGAAACTAGTTTTTCGTATCTCTGAGGATGGTTCTGAAATTTCCCTAGAATGTTGGGGACTTTAGACCTCGTCTTAAAAAAGTCACGACTGACGCAGATTTTGTTCATGTATTCAAGTCGACTGTCACGTAACATTCGTTTGATGGTAGAGCGGAGGCTTTTAAATTGATTTCTTAGGTAATCTCTTAATTTTCATTCTCAACGAATTTTTCTTCTTAATTAACTGCAGAATTGTACTATTCATCCAAGGAAGAGACTTTCGACCTTTTAAATTTGCAGGTTGGAACGAACTGCTTCACCGCCGCAAGAAACGAATCTTTCCATTCCGACCAATCTTTATTAATATCACCATGATCAGATATTTTCTCCTTGAGGCTAAGTGATCGAAGATGTGCTCGTAGACCATCAAAGTCAGCTCGACGATAATTAAATATAGATCTTTTTACTTTTGGTAATGGATTGCATGTCCTGATTAGATCAAACATGATTAGGCTATGATCTGGGAAGATTCCCGCATCAGTTGGTTTTAAAACTTCGCTTATCTTTATCTTATCAGCAATACTGGTAATTATAATAATAATAATAATAATAATAATAATAATAATAATAATAATAATAATAATAATAATAATAATAATAATAATAATAATAATAATAATAATAATAATAATAATAATAATAATAATAATAATAATAATAATGGAAACTTTATTAAATGTTTTTCTTTACATACATATACAATCGTAAATCTCTCTCAAAAAGGTAACTTACGGTTGGCTATTTGAATCACAATTATACTAAACTAAAATAACAGAACAAAGTGCATGCAATATATATATATATACAATGAGATAAGTCAAATTGTTAGTAAATCCGGATTTTCCCATTCCTTATTTCGGCAACAAAAAATGTAATATGTAGTTCTAATAGCAATAGTCATCATTTTCCTAACGCAGTACATTTGGTGGATTTTGTCAAGACCAATACTATCTAACATGTCTAAAAATGTATAACATTCTTCTGCAAAAATACCTAAAGAGCTGATGGAGAGATTTATAAATTTAACTTGGTTAAAATTTTTACCTAGCTGTCTCAATAATTCTCTATATTTATCCTTCTTCCGTTTTACGTTGTTTTTGAGGTTTGTCTCATAACCAGTGGTTTGTCTCATAATAATAATAATAATAATAATAATAATAATAATAATAATAATAATAATAATAATAATAATAATAATAATAATAATAATAATAATAATAATAATAATAATAATGATAATAATAATAATAATAATAATAATAATAATAATAATAATGGAAACTTTATTACTTTCAATAATATATATACACACTACAATGATAAACCTCTCTTTACAGGTAGTTTACCAGTGTCTACTTGAATTAACACTCTACATAATAACAATATTAGTATGATATTAGTTGTGGGTTATCCCATTCTTTGTTACGCTTACAGAATATATAATACGAGGACCTGATACATATATTAATAATTTTCCGAACATAGTACTTTCTACATTGTTCATCAAACTTTAGATCTTTCAGCATTTCGGTGAAATCTAGCGACGGGTGGCTGAAAACTCCTAATGAGCTAATCGATAAATTTACAAATTTCACTTTTTCATAATTTTTGAGCTGTTCGTTAATTAGATCTTGATATTTTTGTCTTTTTCGAGTTGAGTTTGACTAATGGTCGCGGGTCGCGTGTCGCGGGTAAAAAGTCGCGGGTCGCGGGTAAAAAGTCGCGGGTCGCGGGTAAAATGTCGCGGGTAAAAAGTCGCGGGTCGTAAAAAAGCTCTAAACCGTGTATTTTATTGAGTCGCGGGTTGAATAAAGTGTGTAAAAATCACATTAACATTTAGTTATTTAACGGTTTTAATCAATAGTTGTTCGAAGATGTTATGGCTGCAATTGTGAGTTTCTAGATAAATATAGACAAGAACCATACAACATAATTGTAAAGCACGTTGATAGACGGTAGTGCAAAAGGATCCTGTTACACATTCCTATGTTTATAGTCTTGATTTTAGTAATACATATTACAATCCAATTTCTTACCATATCAGGCGTAAAAATCCGCTATTCAGTGGCTCAGTGCGCGTTGTCGTCAAGCCTTTGTGCATCGATCAGTACTTTCCAGAAACAAGTGCTACAGAACAGCAACTTAAATATCCGGGTTGTTGGTGAATCATAATGTACTTTTATAATGTCCTAGCATGGATATATCTATTATTTGTGATACTATATGGTTCTTTTTAAATTAGTATAAAACTGATTGTAATAGTAGTGGCAAACTGAATTTATTTCTACCGAAGTCTTGTTTGTTTCGTTCAGAACATATTTTTTGATTAGAGGATTTTTGTCATGGTATAATTGTTGGTTTAACATATTGAAATTATTCTTTCAAGTTTTAGGCTTCTGGCACGTTTATATAGAACCATTAAATCATGACAAAAGCCAGTCTTGGGCAATATTTCGTATTGAAATTGAAGCAATCCTATCGGTTGTTTACTAAATGATAACGTGTTTTTTACACACTTTATTCAACCCGCGACTCAATAAAATGCACAGTTTGGAGCTTTTTTACGACCCGCGACTTTTTACCCGCGACATTCTACACGCGACACGCGACCATTAATCAAACTCATTAAATCATGACAAAAAACTCTTGGGCAATATTTCGTATTGAAGCAATCCTATATAGTTGTTTACTAAATAATGACGTGATTTTTACACACTTTATTCAACCCGCGACTCAGTAAAATACACGGTTTGGAGCTTTTGCGACCCGGGACTTTTTACCCGCGACATTTTACCCGCGACATTCTACCCGCGACACGCGACTTTTTACCCGCGACACGCGACTTTTTACCCGCGACACGCGACCCGCGACTATTAGTCAAACTCTTTCGAGTTGCATTAGTGAGGAGATTAGATTCAAATCCGACGGTAAGTTGAAGTGTATAAATACATTAGTTTTCAAGTGTTATCAAAAGATCAGGGCGCAATTCATCTCCGGTGATAACAGATGGACTGATATAGCCAGGAAGGTCAGCATAAAGGTTACAATGGTTCACAGATTTAAGTATGGATGCTATGAAGTTAAGCACCGAATCATGACGCCACGTGAAACGTCCTTCATTTAGGTAGGTCTTGCATCCAGCGACGACGTGAAGAAGTGATTCTGGATTCAAACAAAACGAACATTCGGATGTTGGTGATATTCCCCATTTCAGAAGGTTTTTGCGAGTGGGAAGAGTGTTATTTATATACCGGATAGTGAAGTTAAATATATTCTTGGGAAGTTTACTCTGAACGGAGGACCATATAGAGTTGAATGAGAGTGTAGAATGTTTAATGATATTGGAGAAAAATGAGCCTTGTGAAATGAGGTGGTGTTGAAGCTTGTCTTCATGTTGTTTCCTGATGGTGTTTAATACGTCCTTGGTGTTTTTGAAATAATAATAATAATAATAACAATAATTATTATACATTTAATATGTATTCTCGTTTCTAATTGGTCAGAAAGCACCGGCTAATTTTCAGTATTCGGCATTTATTACGTATTTTTCGCCGATGACGTCATCAGCGTCCAATAATTGTTTTTTTGGATCGAACTTGCATCCAAAAAAAAAATTATTGGACTCTCTCGTGCCCAAACCCTTGCGCGGCCAAAAGCTTGAACCATAAGCGCGCGAAAAAAACAAACAAACAATGGCCGACAGCAGATTTGCTTCGCTGAATGAAAGTGAACTCTCCGAATTATTGGCAGATAAGGATAGTGAAAGCACGAAAAAAGCCACAAAGGGCTAAATAGAAGTAGAAATAGAATATTTAGCTGACCTTTGACTTTGTGCAAGGTGTTTGATATTCAAATTGTACTTTTCCTACCTCATGAACCGGAAGCGTTTTATACGTTTCTCATGTCTTTAAATGTATAATAAAACAATTATTGGATTCGGCTTTCGCATGATATCAAGAATTATTCAGACCTCGGTCTATGTTATCCGCCTCAGCTTCGCTTCGGCAGATAACATTGACCTCGGTCTGAATAATTCTTGATATCATGCTCAGCCTCATCCAATAATTGCTTGTAATAAAGTAATAATAATAATGGAAACTTTATTACTTTCAATAATATATATATATACACACTACAATGATAAACCTCTTTTTACAGGTAGTTTACCAGTGTCTACTTGAATTAACACGGCTACATAATAACAATATTAGTATGACATTAGTTGTGTGTTATCCCATTCTTTGTTACGCTTACAGAACATATAATACGAGGACCTGATACATATGTTAATAATTTTCCTAACATAGTACTTTCTACATTGTTCATCAAACTTTAGATCTTTTAGCATTTCGATGAAATCTAGCGACGAATGACTGAAAACTCTTAATGAACTTATCGATAAATTTACAAATTTTACTTTTTCATAATTTTTGAGCTTTTCATTAATTAGATCTTGATATTTTTGTCTATTTCGAGTTGCAATAGTGAGGAGATTAGATTCAAATCCGACCGTAAGTTCAAGTATTTAAATACATTTGTTTTCAATTCAAATGTTATCAAAAGATCAGGGCGTAATTCATCTCCGGTGATAACAGATGGACTGATATAGCCAGGAAGGTCAGCATAAAGGTTAGACGTGAAAGGCCACGTG